CGGGGTCTTTGACAATCCTCTTACTCCTCGGCCAATGCAGAGATAATAAAACCACATACAATTTGCCAATTATTTTCTTTTCAATAAAATTAATTTTTTAAATGTGTTTTTTTGAAAAAAAAATATTTCCATACGCTTGGATACTGAACCCAACTGATAACCCAGTTAACGGGAACCACAGGGTTTTTGTTACTTGTTGTATATATGTAAGGAGTAGATTATGGTAAGAAAATAACGCAGATAGTTGTTCAGAATCTGTCAGCATCAGAAACAAGAATAAGATTAAGAATAGAATAGAATAGAATAACTTTTTTTTCAATGTAGATTACAAGTAATTCATATTGAAAGTCAATATTTTACTTTACAATTGGTTCGAAAAAAAAAACTCTCTGTCTTGGGAAGAACCAGCAAGAAACCCAGCGGGACTTTTTAAATAAATTTTACAATATCAATGGTCACAAAATATTTACAAAATTTATTTTAGAAACAGCTTGGAAGCGACCACCTCATTCCCAGGGGTTATTATCAACCATGTATTCATTTATATCATAACAGCCCTTTTTATATAGTTTTTTTTTAAATTAAATATTTAAACTCGGTAATAGAGAGACCTTGTATATTTTCCGGGACTTTGTTGTGATAGCGTATACATCACCCCAAGAATGAATTACTGACTCTGTGGAGTCGAGAAACTGGTAGCACTAGCTTGTGATTGTTGCTAGTGTATACAGAGTGTATGTTATTTTTTTTACTAAAACTAGCTTGGTTTTTATGAACGTACATTAATTTTCATAGATATACTTAGAGGTCAAAGTTAATATATTTATTTCTTTAAATTTTTCTCTAAGAAACTCTCAGTTAAAGTTCCTTTATGCTTCCCCTTTGAAATTCCATACGGCATTATGCTATGGAAATAATTGAAATAAAGTAATCTAGCTGTCTCGACACTAGTGAGATCTCTAATCTTTTTTGCAGTATAAACTGCAGAGCTTAGTCTGCTTACTGGTTTAGGTATATAGGGGCCCACTGAAGCTGGAATGGAAGAAGGGGTACGATTATGGTAATGGTGAATGGCAGTGAGAGATGAAGAATATTTCAATTAAAAGTAACAATGGATAGCAATTTACTGATATGAGAATCATTAACTTGCTAAATCACTTGTTAAAATCACCTAAAATAATGGTTTAATCTTAAAGCGGAGCAAGTTTTACGCGTTATTTTCCAAAAAAGAAAAATAATCTACATTGATAGAGGCGGGATAGTAGACACTAAAAAACGTCCTAAAATGAACAATAAAAGTTTTTCTATATACCACGTCTGTGCATGACGTTTTAAATAAAAGAACTCAATTAATAAATGCTCAGAAAATTTATGCCGATGTGTTGTGTGTTGTAGAAATGTCATCTGTCCAATAAATTGAAAACCATAACCTTTGCTTGCCCTATCATTGCGTATGGTTTGAAATTTGAATCCAGGGAGATAATAAATACTGTTGCGCGCTAAAATTAGCGCCTGGTATATGGCGGGTGATTATTAGCGCCATCTGGTATCAAGCAGCTGAAATAGGAGCGTTAAGATCTTTCTAGAACTCTCCCACCAGCACCATCAAGTACCGAATAGAAGAACTAAATTTTCTAGAAAACTCCACACTCGAATTCTCTACATCTAGTCGGTCGGTAATTTTTAAAACAAGGACGCCATCAATGTTTTATAGAATCATAGATTGTTAATAGATCAACAAACTCTGCATGGGTGCTTAGAGCGTTGATATAAACTATACTAAGATTTTAACAGCCGCGATGCAGCTATATTTTAGTAGTAGTTAATGAGTCGGCTTGACCGGAGAAGGACCACACTTTTACATAATATTAGCGTAAAATATATTTATTTTTTACTTTTGTTTAGAAATAAGTGCGAAAGAAAATTTCATTGGAAAACATCTAATATCTTACTAAGCAATTTTATTGTGATAAAATTTAAGACATTTTATTTATTTAAAAAAAAAACATTGAATACAATTAATTACGTTTATTAACGTCATTGTTACAAATTATAAAATGCATTTGATTTCAGAGCTGATTCAGTCACGTGGAATCCACACAAACTACTGTCAGCGCCGCAACAGTGCTCTACGTTCCTGGTCAGATACAAAAACGTCCTCAAGGACGCGCATTCATGCAACGCCAAGTACCTATTCCAGAAGGATAAATTCTACGATACTGCATACGACACCGGTGATAAGCATATACAATGTGGGAGACGTGCTGACGTCCTTAAATTTTGGTTCATGTGGAAGGCAAAAGGCAGTGTTGGTTTTGAGAAGCACATTGATAAACTTTTCGAGAATGCAAAATACTTTTTGGAACACATTAGACAAAGGCACGGCTTTGAACTCGTGCTCGAAGAACCTGAATGTACCAATATTATGTTCTGGTACGTGCCTAACTGTCTCCGCGGATGCGAGAAAGACCGTAATTATAAAGAAAGGCTCCATAAGGTCGCCCCAAAACTTAAAGAAAAAATGATAAAGGAAGGGAGCATGATGGTCACGTACCAGCCACAAGGTAACCTCGTTAACTTTTTCCGCATTGTTTTTCAAAACTCGGCTCTAGACCACAAGGATATGATCTATTTTGCAAACGAGTTCGAAAGGCTCGGTTCAGATATTGTCGTATAGGTAAAAAAAATATAATTTACGTACCTAGCCTTGTAGCCAATGTTGCATATTAAAACATGTAACCCTGTGATTTTAATTTACAAGTTAGCTTTAAAAGATTGATATGACAATATAGTGAATGTTAAATTAATTTATATTTATCAATAAAATATTATTAAATCAACAGTATTTTATTAGTTACACTAAAAGAAAGCTTAACAGATTTCTAAACTAATTCATCTATATGAACAGTATTGAATTCCTTTTTATTGTATTTTGTATAGTACACGCGAGGAAATTATAACAGAATTTTCGTAAAATATTATGTACTCGTATAACGTTTGTGCCTATTTTAACCATGTACCTTAAAAGTATTTGGGAAAATTGTTGATTGCACTATATGTATATAGGCAAGGTAGCGAAACGGTCAACGGCCTTACTCATAACAAGTGTAATATAAAAAATATAAAAAATTTAATAAATTTCTTTTATATACTTTTTCTAGTTTCTAGCTCAATGGTAACTTAGTTCAAAATTAACGATTAAGCGCTAATATCGCCCACTTTCTGTGTGTAATTTTAATATTTAGTGTTTTTTTTATAAAATAAGGGTGCAAATAAGCACATAGATCTGAATGTAAATAAATACTGTAGCCCGTAAACATTTACATCTATCGTCGGTTAAGTATCAAAACTCAAGTGCGTTGTCACCTCTAAGGACTAAGATAAAAGGTCTCGCTTCCAGGAAAAAAGGGGCTCCGGTTCTCTTTAATCATCATAAGAACACAGCAACACAAAGATGCTATTTTACGTTGGTATTCTGTCAGAGCGTGGTCCTTCCCCTGTCGAGCAGACTGATTTGCGCTACAACCATAATGTAGCTGCAATAAGGCTCTAACACGTAAAATTGCTTTATAGCGTAGTAATATTTGTTACATAGATTAAGTATCCTATTTCGTATTCCAAGGCATAATCGAATTTTATGGCTTTCCTTGGAATCTGTCCGACCATTCAACAGCGATTTAACGACAAACACATTAAATAAAGATAGGTTACTTTTACATTTATAAATATTATAGCAAGATTGGTATGATATCGTATCGCAAGTAAATGCCAACTCAATGAGACAACAACTATACAACTGGAATGCAAAAGAATACGTAAATCTATAATTTTCCGTCTTTTCTTATTTATGTACACAATTACGAGCTTCTTTCGTTGTAAAGAGTAAAATTATAGCGGTGTAATGTTAACTAAAATTGAATTGTAACGAGACACTAAAAATAAACCAATGACTTAAATGAGCCTAGCAGAACTACTAGAAATTATATTGGATAGGTTCTATATCACTTCCTAGTTAAACAATTAATTAGGAAATAACCTAAACACGCAGTGTTTGCATATTTACTGCGAGATCACGTTGCAGTTGCTAATGGATATTTCCCTGTTAATGCATAACAGTTGCAATTAGAGCTACTACATCAGTCATTACCTTCGCAACGGTATTTCGATCATAGTATCGCTTGTATCTGTGATTAATCGGAATAATAATGAATATCAGTTATTAGATGATAAGTCCTTTAACGTCAAAGAAAATGATCAAATAATATATTGGGGTTTGTGTTTATGAGCGAGTGTGGCTATGAGCTAGCCACCCACAATTTCTTTCAAAGTTTTCCATCTATTCTCATTTTTTGGCTAAACATAATCCGAGTAATTCGCTGCTTTTTTCTCTGTCTACTCCCTCAGGAATTACAGGTGTCACACAATGTCAATGATGTATGAATGTCAATGGCCTCAGCAGAGGCTCGCGTTTAGGCTGCTATAGTACTGTTTTATGTTACTCATAAGCCCTCAAACAGTCTGAACGTGGTTCTTTCTCAAAGAAATGAAGATTTAGCGTGATCACTACTAATCAGCCTTGTGGCCTTAAAATCTTGTTGGAATTTCTTACAAACGGCACTACATACTGCACAATCTCTTATTATTCTTCTAATGAAGGTCTTGAGGGCAAATATTATTAAACGTGTTAGCACAAGCACTTGCTGTTAATTTCGCAGTATGCGAGCAACCCAGTTTTCTCATTTAATGCTGTGCCAAGTGTTCGGTGCTGAAGAAAACCATCCTGAGGAAACCTACATATGCCCTAAAAGGCCTGAGCCCAGCTGCGGGACTTAAAAAGGATTTAGGCTTTATAAAAAAGGTGTTAGTAGAGATATTAGCACGTAAATAAAACACTTTTATTTTCATGCATAATATATATTGTTATTTAAAATAGAACTTCAGTTTGTTAGTAGAAAATTTTATTTAAATTCGTACAATAGTCAGATCTTGAATAATCACAATTATTCATCTTCATCGGATAAATTTTCAACTAGGAATTCTTCGCAGCTCAACTGTATATGGAAAAGAGAAATAAGTATTAATATTAATAAGAGCCGTGGTAAATCAAAGAATTCTCTCACACATAATTTGCCAATGAATTACTTTCTGTAATATAAATGGAAACCACACTAAACTGAAATTAAATAATATTCCGGCACTCCTGACAATTTTTAATATCCAAAATACATTCAAGTTTTTAGGTTATATAATTTAGAAATAATTTCACATTTCAAATTGTAAAATTGTAATTTCATTCAAAATATCTTGGAGATATGTGAAGTTTGCTATCAATTATCTTGCCCTAAATTCCTCTCAATAAGGTCCAACAGTGAAACGTATATAGGCTGATATTTTACTTTTATGACGGATTGGCTGTAAGGTGCGTTTTACCTTCTCCATTCGATTCGATCCTATAAGATGATATAAATATTAGTCATAAAAAATAGTAATAGTATATATTAAAGAAAAAAATCTGACTCTTTAACAGTAGAGCATTTTATTATTGCTTTCGTTCAAATATGGCACCGCCGGGAAATATGATAAAATCGAGAAAAAAAGAAAAAAATCGTGATACCACTACTTAAAATGTGTTCAAAAATCACAATTATTGTATAAATTGAATATGTTTTAATCCATAGGTCAATTTCAACAATGACTACAGTTTATTTGCTAACGGTAAATGAAACCATCTAGAAGAAATCTGCACGTTTTAAAAATTAAAAAATGTCGAAGGCTGAAGTTCCAATACACATTCTTCCGGGACTCTTTCCTAAAACCTTTTCAAAAATAAAACGCGAACTGTGTCCGATATTTTTAGTTTGTTACACTTTACTACTTTAACGAAATTCATAATTAATTTATATTTAATTTAATTGGCATTCTGTGAATAATATAATTTATAAATTACTTAATGTAATTTTTTGTGTTAATGTTATATTTTGTATAATAATGTAATATATTATTACCAAGGTTTCATCATCAGGCACTCTTGAAAGCAAATCTAAAAGTTCATTATTTGGTATTCTGTTTGGTTGAAGTATCTTTCTAGTAAATTTATGTATTCCTGTAAGATATAAAAATAAGATTATAATAATTAGGGCTTGTAAACTGACAGCTTTAAAATGTAATTAAAAAGTACTCCGATCAAATGAAATACCCAATTACTCAACATTCAGTCTCAATTAAATGTTCCGTACAAAACAAGGTACGAAAATGGCCTACAAAGAGTAATTCTTTGTGTGGAGGAAACATCTTTAAAAAACATTCAGCAATATCTCACAATTACAACACCATCTTTTAAATCTTTTCAACATTATTACTACAGCACTTCACAATTCCACTGATGTATAATGGCTTACCTACAGAATGTCACAAATCATGGTTCTGAGCCCTCTGAATCCGAAAACTCTCTGCTTGTTTCATTAAATAGTCACGAGACTGCTCTTTAAGAACTTTTCTTTCCTATTAGTGATCGATTCTTCGAGCTGGCAGCTATTTTAGCTTATTGATACTTTGAAATATTTTCCTTACATTACTATTAACACCTTCTCTTTGAAGTTGCTATCATCATCATCATTACAGCCCTTCAAGTTTGAACATAGGCCTCCCCGTGATCGGTTGGTTCTTACTCTGGGGTTGCAACTATCTTAATTGATATTGATAGAGATATCGATCACAGAAGATCGCGAGAGGTGGAAAAAAGTAGGTGAGGATTTCACCTTGAATTGGGACATAGTCGGATAAGAAATCATTCACACAAATAAAAAATATTGTTATACTAACCCCAGGTCATCAGCATATACTTGAGAGGTATGAAATACATTACCAAAGTAATGATTAATATTAAAAATATCGTCAGACAACTAAGGAACGGTACCGAGAAATTGAAAAGGCTGAAAAAAGAAAATCGCTTTTTATCACATTTGAAGTTAGAAGACTTTGATCTAAGTGTTAATTAAAATGTGTTTTTACTTTTTAACGCTCTCCCCGAGACTGGCAAATTTCCCAATTACGTTTTGTACTGTCTGTATCATTTCTTGCAGAGAATTTATTTTTTGCCGAATCGTTAAATTCTTTTCTTCCTGAAATAATTAATTATTCATTTAACACCAAAGTTTTAAAAGAAAAAAACAGAAATAATGTCGTTGTGTTACCTTTTCATGTTTAGAATTATTATCGTCTTCTACTGAAATTTCTTGGAATCTTTTTTTAACTGTAAATTTTATAAAAATATTATTATCAATAATAAAGGCCAGAGACACTAAATGCATGCGCGTGCACGTTTCATTTCGCCACTAGGTGTAATATTATTCAAAACTGTTAGGATAATGTTATTTTGCTGCTCCAAAACGTGCTGCACACGGATTGCAAGCAGTGTAATATTTTCTATACAGATTTATTACTGCTGTCGCAAAGCACATGTCACGCGGACGTGCATGCATTCAGTGTGCTAATGTCATAAATGTCTTCACCATAAAAATCTTATTTATGTGATTGTAAAATATCCTTTAACAGCTTTAAAGCTCAGATGACTAAAGAATAATGCCCACTTTCCATACATATAAAAACCTGATAATGAAAGTTTATGTATAGGTAGTTATTAGGTATCATAGAAAAACTAAATATAAGTTTAAAAAATAATGTCATATAGTAATTTTTACGATTTAAACGCTACGAAGCCCAAAAATATTAATGACACTTTTTAGGTTAGGTATTGCGTTACCAAATAGGTAATAAAGAAATTATTCTATCAATTTTTAATAATCTGTACTATACAAAGACTAATAAAAATGCTTACTGATTAAATGAAACATAAAATAATGTATAAAACTCAAAAACAAAGTTGAGTAAAGTAAAGTAACAATGTGTAAAATGGAACGTCCTAAAGAAGAGTAGTTGAGATGCGTTCAAAATATGGTAATACGCTTGACGTAGAATAAGCCTATAGAAATGTTTAATCATATTTTTTCCTGCGTTTCATTTAACATTTTGATGAGCGTAAATAATTTAAAATCCAATTAGCTGAATTTTAAGATTAATTTAATTTCTATACATAGTCATCTTTCTTTATGAAATAAATCAGGAGATGGTCAGCGGCTTCCTAGTAACATCTAAAAAAAAGCTGCAGTTATCAACCTGCGTGCCAAGCCTTGCAACAGTCGAAAATATCAACCATATGAGGCAATGTATGGAGGAGGTCTATGTTCGCCTGTGAACTTTAACAGACTGTAACAGTAACGGTCTTTTATATAGGATAGGGTGACAAACGAGTACATAGTCCACCTGATGGTAAGTGGTTGCTGCGGCTCATAGACATCTACATCTATCCTCGATTACGTATCAAAATGCAGATGCGTTGTGAGGACTAAGATGGAATGCCTCGTTTCCCGTAAAAAGTGTCTCCGGTAAACGGTAACGGTATTATAGTTATATTATAGACACACAGCGGTAAGTCACTCAAGTTCATAAAAGAAAAGAGAGACACACCGAGAGTGTGTACATTTACGCGAAACATTTCGATTTATTTTTATTTTTTAACATGGTAGTTATCTACCTACCTAGAAACACTATTGGATGTACGCATTTATAATTTCTTATACTTAATAAGGGCTATAATCACAAATTGATGAATAAACTCTTATGGTTCTTCAGTTATCAAAGTCTGAAAAGCATCATTTGTATAACTCACTTATTTATCACAAACCTATGTTTCTTCTGGGTTACTTGGGAATTTTAAATTTGCCATCAAGGTAGAGTAAATCAGTAGGCGTATACAAAGAAAACAATATGAAAATAAATATTAATAATCGCTTTCGTTAGGTATTGACATAGTAGTTTATAAGATTCAGTTAGAATAGTAAACGTTAATAATATTTGTATAGATATTGATTTATCAATTTGTACTTTAAAATAATACTCACTGTCTAATATGGAATTCTTTGAGGGTTTGTACAGTGCAAACGGTACAAGAAGTAAGAGGGGAAGCATCCATATTTTGAAAAACCAACAAAAAATTAACCATGTCGCTAACGCAATAACGTTGCATCGCCTAGATTCCCATTCAAACATTGTTCTGAAAAAGTAAAAGTACATTACATACACATTAAGTCGTATGTGTTCGTCTTTGTACGTACTTATGAATTCCCAAAACAACAAATCTTGCATTAAACTTGGAATTCCAAATTTATATTAAAGCAGTTAAATCAATAAATTTACGTTAACTTTATGATTACCATATTTTAAAAATCAGGATTTCGTGTGTAAATTCATTCTTTATCGCTGTATTTACGCCTATAGACATGTATAAATCGGAAGCGAACGCACAGCATGTTTATGTTGTAATTACTTCCGTTTTGGAATTTTAAATAACGTTGGAAAAAGCAACCTCCAACGTAAGTGACAAAACAATATAATTAAATTAAAAAAGAAAAAGCTCGCTAAATTACTTATTACTTATGAGGTAACAGCAAATCGAGATAAAAATTATTTCGATTGTTGTTGAATTGATATATAATATTGAATAAAATATAGTATTGTCACTTGTGATGTATGTTATAGTAATAGCGTCGTCGCTTGTCGCAATATTTGGATGTAGGGGGGCGGCCAGATCATGAACGAAAAATAAGTTATAAAAAGTTTCTTGTGACTTTGTGAGAGGCAATACTCAAGTACTATAAACGATGATTACAATCCAACAACCGACACTGTTAAACTACTTCTGCACGACTTCGTTTATTCAAAGTACGTAAAATGGCTTTCCATAATATAATACTGGATCTTCGAAACTACGTCATCAACCGTATTTAATATAATTTGCTCTAATTTATTTTCATTCTTTTGGAAATTTGGACAACTTTTTAGAGATGAGAAAATTTTCTAATTTAATAAGGAGTTGTGAAAGCATGCAAGGATTTTATCATCCCTAGGATTTATATAGCAGACTAATAGAATATTTACATAGGATAAATTTATTTAATAAATTTATCCTATATTTTTTATAAAAAAACCTCCTTTTTTAATAATATGACTTAATAAAGCGATTATTATACCTACATGGATAAGGACCCAAAATTAAAAAATACTAAGAGCGACGGAAGACTTAACTGACGGATTTTAATCTAAGTATCAAAGGACGACATACTGCAAGGTCTGATTCTTCAATCCTTAGATAAAATTTATTCACAGAATAAAATAAAACATAAGAAATTAAAAATTACAGTAGTATAGATGAATTAGTTAAAGATAATAAAAATATATTCCATATTATAATTTATAATTTATTTGATAAGTATAACTTTTATCCGACAGTTGAAAAATCAGCTCTAACTCAACAATAAAACTTACTTGAATATATTGAAAGTGTTCATAATCCAGGAAATGATTGCTTTCGCCCGTGTTATGTTTTTTGCGAAAACGCGTCTATCTATCACATTTTCTTCTGTTTGCAGTAGATTAACTTCCTTTGGGTTAAAAACGCGAACAGATGCTTTTATCTACAAAATAAAAAAAATTGGTAATGAGTTTCCTTCGAGAAATTCAATTGGAATTCGTTTTGTCTTAGCCAGGAAAATAGAGTTTTGCTTAGAAGCTTGTATCACCATATTTGATTTTCTTAATTGCTGTAATTCTGTCCTCTATGGTAAGACTACTTTAGAGGCGTGGAGAAGAAGTGCGGTAGTCTTATTATTCAAGGAAGGTGACAACGCTCTCTTGAAAAAGTACAGACCGATTTCCTTTCTGAGCCGCGTCTACGGGCTGTTTTCGAGAATCATAAGGAATCGTTTCACATGCAGACTCGACGATTTCTAGCCTCCCGAAGAAGCCAGTTTCTGAAAAGGCTTTAGTACCATAGACTACATATATACCCTACGGCAAATTGTACAAAAGACCAAAGAGTACAAACTACCAATTTGCCTTGCGTATATTGACTATGAGAAAGCCTTTGATTCCGCCGAAATTTGGGCGCTGCTACAGTCCCTTCAGCGGTGCCAAGTTGATTGTTGGTATCTCGAAGTACTCAAGTGTTTATACAGTAAGGTTACGATGGTTATCCGAGTACAGAATCAGAGTATGAAAACCATCCAACTGCAGAGAAGTTATATCTCCGAAACTCGTCACAACTGCATTGGAAGACGTTTTCAAGCAACTAGACTGGAGAGGATACGGTATTAACATCGATGGTGAGAACATCATTCCCTTTGGATTTGCCGATGATATAGTCCTTTGGCAGTATCGCTGGAGGACTCAAGCACGCACTCAATATATATATATATATATATATATATATATATATATATATATATATATATATATAAAAGCTCAATGTCCTCAATAGTGCCTACCAATGTATAAGTCTTAAGATGAAGTCATAGACAAAACAAAGATTATGTATAACGTCCATATCACACCTATGCCGGTAGTTATTGGGAGTACTAAGCTCGAAATTCTTGACGAGTGTGGCCAAATAGTCCGACTAGGTAAGTTCAGCTTCGACGTCAAACAACGGATTGAACTCGGTTGAGCAGCGTTCGGGAAATTGCGACATATCTTATCAACAAGTATACCTCAAAACTTGAAAACTAAAGATTGTAGAATTAGTGCGTATTGCCAGTTTTGGCTTATGGATCTGAGACGTGGTCTTTCACTGCTGGGCGTATGAGAAAGCTCAAGATCGCTCAGTGGTCTGTAGAGAGGGCTGTGGTCGGAATTTCCCTGCATGATAACCGTAGAAATGAGGATATCCGCAGTAGTATCAGAATGATCGATATAGCCTAACGGATTAGTAAGATGAAGTGGCAATGGGCGGCCATATAGTTCAAAGAGCCGACAACCGATGGGAAAGAAATGTTCTCGAGTAACAGCCTCGAACCGGTAGGCAAAATGTACTCTCCATCAGATAGAGTGACGACCTGGTAAGACATGCAGGAAGTCGATGAATGCAGGTGGCTCAAGACCGTGCTTTGTGAAGGGCTGTAATGAAAATGATGATAATGAATTTATTGTTAGATGATAAGTATTACTTGAAACATTTGATGCATTATGCTCGGCAGAAGGTTAGTTAATAAAGATCTAATACCCTCTTATTGGTAGCGCTGTTTCGCACCACCAGTCTTTGAGATATAAGTTCAACATTACATGAATTTACCGCGATCTGCTGACAGAGGCTCATTAATAGAGGATAACTTACTAAAATTTCAGGAGTTACGACTTCTAGTTGCTCGATTCCAAGCTGTAGAGTTTTTGCAATTATCTAATATATAATTAACTATACAAATGGTGAAATTTCGGCTTTCAATGGTTATTTTAAATGTATTTAAGCCAGTGTATCATTACTACTACTTATGATGGTGGAGAACTGCCGACCTTCTAGTTGTCCAATTGTGGAAAAGGAGAGTTAGCACGGCTTTTCATTGAGTTCAATAGATGAAAAACTAATAGATGCCATTAAACAGCACCAGACCATATAGCTACAATACTCCGTGCAGGACTGGACTAGACAATTGACTTTACTTTACACATTACTTGAGAATCAGTTTAAACAAGTTATAAAATAAAAAATAAATTGTACAACCAACTTCAATATAAATAAAAACATCATCAATGTTGTCGTAGTTAGTTGAATGTGCTTTATTGTAGATAACTCAAAAACTACTGGACAGATCTTGATAAAAAAAAGTATATTTGTCCTCTCCTTAACAAGCTCTAGATAATGACAGCCACTGTGGTAAGAAAATGTTTTTCGAGTGTATGTATTTATGTGTTTCTTTGGCATCTCAATAGCTTAATTAGCTTGATGAATTTTATCATATTGGTGTCGTTAGATTACATATTACCATAAAATGGCATTTAAATTAGGATTATTGGTTTATCTTAATTACTTACAAGATTCCAAGTGATGTCCAGTTCTAACAGTATTCTGGGATTGTTTCCCTTCGCTCGATCCCTTTGACTGATTCCTTTGAGCGCATACCATTTTTTACTCAATGTTTTTATTTTATGTATTGGTATCGAAAGTTTTCCAACTTCCTCAAATTTCTTTTCATCCCAAATTATTACTTCTAAAATCGACGTTATGTCAGTAACCGTACTAAAATACAATTGAATATATATTTTTTCTTGAAAGCCTTCTGCATTAATTTTAAATAAAATACTTGATTAATTTAGTAAATTACAATGTAAATATCTTCATCCAGTTCGGTGCGTCAGTTTTGTGTTCCGTATGAGTAAAAAGCCTTTCATTGTTTAACTTCAGTATGCAGTAGCAGTCGCTGGTTGATAAACCCTTAGCTCCATACACAATAACTGACAACCAGCCAACATCAGAAAATTTGCCACATAAATGGTACCACGCCTGCAAATTAATGAATTGGAATTGCTTTGATAGATTGAAACATGTTATAATCTAATTTGAATTAAGTGGTTGCGTCCATCAGATTTCACAGATGTAAATTACGCACTAAAATAAACTTGCCTCAATTAAAAATATAAAAAATTCGTACGCGATACAATCGAAAGAACATGTGAAACTATATAGTAAGCTTGGGTGCAGTATCAGAGCCATGACAACGACAGTCCCAGAGTAGCATATCAAATATTTGTAATAAATAAATTACTAAATTCCTCAAACACAAAATGAAGTGGGAATACAATATCATTTTGATGATAGCGGTAACTTGTCCTTACTGTGCCTAAGCAGCCCGAGATTGAGACATAGCATTACTGGTATCAATTTTTACCTACTATTTAGGAACAGCTTGAAGTGTACAGGATTGTTAAAAAAGGACATATCATGAATTAGTACCATAGAATACTATAATACCTACACAATAGAACGGGGGAGCGAGCAGTACCCGTCTATACTACGGCCAACGAGAAGCGATACCAAATGTAAACAATACCAATGCATAGTTATTACGAAAGGGTACCTACGTAACTTATTGATAGTTTGATTATATATTTAAGTAGACAATATGGTTTTAAGAAATGTCTAGCAAACTAAAAAAAGGAATTTTTAAAAATTTTGTTATAATTTGAATTATTGTATAATGTAGATTTAAATTAAATAAATGCTTTCTGCGCCATCTCTTTTCTGTATAGGTATTTATCGTTGGGCCAAGTTTCTTTAAAATATTTTTAGGTATTAATAACCATATTTTTTCATTCATAGTAAAACTAGTAACCTAAAATTAAAAATTAAATTAAAATGATATACATACTTACATACTTCTTTAATAAATTAAGAAAAGTTTTATTATTACAGTTGCTATTTTTTAAATAACTTTAAGATAACTTTAAAGTACACTCCTAACCAAGAAGTTTTAATTAAAACTAATAAACAACATTCATATATTATATCCCATTCCTATTCATACCTTCGGGCGTTTCTTTTTCGGAGATGTAAAATCTGTTGATTTATCTCTCGACGTTCTTGATTGTGGCTCCATGATCAACCTCTCTTAATAAAAAAAACAATAATAATAATTAAATAAACAACCATTACTAAAATGGCCTCCCAAATGTTGGCGAACCCGTCTTGACCCTGACATGTTTTTGCCGGGAAAACGAGACATTACGACAAAAGAGATAGATAATGGATTGTCAACTCCACATCGTTTTTAAGGTAAATGACCTTTCGTATTGCTGCTAGTTGGCCGTGCTTTAGCTAATAATATGCCTATTCACACCTTCAAAGAGAAATATTGATTGCTATTTATAAAATTGCATTATAAATTTTACATTTTAATTTTAAGAATATTCTTTTGTCTGTGCCTCAAAACGCTATCCGATATATTATTCTGGGGCTGTCGTGACGTCACTGATCCCTCCTAAGTATTATAATTAATACAGAGAACTAGCTAATGTGCAGTGTTATTTCGAAATTTTTCAAGTTATCATTACGATTGCTGAGTTTAATTCCAAATTTTATTGAAAAGGCATCACGGAAGACGAATTCGTAAGAGCAGAAAGTACTAATCTACCAATGATTAGTAAATTGATGGTGGCAAATTTATTTGCACGCAATCCCAATTTTTGTTCTGCTGAGTTGAGGAATGTTAAAACATCAATTTGAGTACCTAATACCAGTTTTTGTTTATACGAAAACACAATAATAGGTCAGAGTGTATTTTTATAAAACATAGTTTAGTAGCTATCACACTTTAGTTTATCTATAATTGCAATAATTAGCAATCAATAGATATAATTTCTAAGTTAACGTAATTTATTACAAAATTTGACTAGCGATACCCTTTATCTCATGATGTTTTATTTTGTATAAACGATAGTTAAATATAAGTCATACTTGTATCAAAATGATCTTCGCAGAAGAATAGTGTAGTTTTTGTAGATAATGTATTCGGGTATCTTCTTGCCAGTTTAACCAAGTATTTCTTATATTTAAATAAGTTTGAGATATTGAAATTTGTATGACCAATGAGCTTTAACTACTCTGCTACATTACTGTACAACAAAGTAAACACAATTTTTAAAACCGCGCATTTAAGTAATTATAACATTAATACAATTTTATTAAAGTGGTTAAGTAATTTTGACTATGACGCAACTGAGAATCTTATCGTTTCCACTAAATAATTCTTATATAATATTACGTTTATACATTACGATTGCTGAGTTTAATTCCAAATTTTATTGAAAAGGCATGGAAGACGAATTCGTAAGAGCGAAAGTACTAATCTACCAATGATAAATAAATTGATGGTGGCAAATTTATTTGCACGCAATACCAATTTTTGTTCTGCTGAGTTGAGGAATGTTAAAACATCAATTTGAGTACCTAATACCAGTTTTTGTTTATACGAAAACACAATAATAGGTCAGAGTGTATTTTTATAAAACATAGTTTAGTAGCTATCACACTTTAGTTTATCTATAATTGCAATAATTAGCAATCAATAGATATAATTTCTAAGTTAACGTAATTTATTACAAAATTTGACTAGCGATACCCTTTATCTCATGATGTTTTATTTTGTATAAACGATAGTTAAATATAAGTCATACTTGTATCAAAATGATCTTCGCAGAAGAATAGTGTAGTTTTTGTAGATAATGTATTCGGGTATCTTCTTGCCAGTTTAACCAAGTATTTCTTATATTTAAATAAGTTTGAGATATTGAAATTTGTATGACCAATGAGCTTTAACTACTCTGCTACATTACTGTACAACAAAGTAAACACAATTTTTAAAACCGCGCATTTAAGTAATTATAACATTAATACAATTTTATTAAAGTGGTTAAGTAATTTTGACTATGACGCAACTGAGAATCTTATCGTTTCCACTAAATAATTCTTATATAATATTACGTTTATACATGCACGCACGCACGCACAAACACATTATATTTACTTACTTACTTTATTAGCTTATATGTTATTTTTGATGTTATTCTAATTAGTTTTATTCCATTTGCTATAATAGTTTATCACATTACAACTATGTATCACTGAAACGGGGAAGATGCTGTAGCCTCTAACACAGTTTTTAACTACCACGAGCTACAGAGCTTCAGCATGATTTGTTTGTATAACTTATGTGAGAAACAACAAATTTTATTATTATTATTAATTGGGTTCTAGTACAAAATAAAGTTCGCAGTCCTTATATTGTGTACTATAGCATTCTATGGTTGGCATCCTTAAAATTATCATTCTTTCGGAATTAAAGAATACGATATGAGAACTATAAAATAAATTATAAATTTAGCTACTTATGTACCCACAGTAATGTACCCTCGTTTAGTATTAAACATATATTTTTGAAAAAAGAAATACGTGTACTTATGTATATTTGATTCTACACTTACATATTTTTTACGCTTTAAATTAATTAGGCTTTTAAGTTTCTGGTAATCGTCAAGATCGACTAGTCTATTGTTCAAACTTGCTCCGCTAATTGTAAGTAGAGTAAATAATTGGATATGTGAACCTTCTCCCTCTAAATTTATTCGCATCCTATGCGTTTGTTCAACCTTAAGGAGAGATAAATCGACAACAGTTCTGTAACATAAAGTTGATTCCAAGTTAAAGAAAGTTGAATTTGTTGGAAAAAAAAGGCAAAGTATTAAAAAAACTTACTTTCCAAGGACAATATCTCGGTCCCAAACTGATAATTCTAATTGTGTCTCGTCATACATAGTTATATTAATTAGCTCTTGCCATTTTACGACGGAATCATTGGTTTTCACTAATTTTGATTTTCGTTTTTCTGTACCCAATCTGTAAATCGTTATTTAAATATAAGTATTGCTACGAGCTTAGTCCCATCTGCATTTTGGTTCGAGACTTAGAGTTCTTAGGCGTTTTTTATTTGATTCATACGACCCGTCTATAACAGCCTTATATAGGGCCTCAGATAGTTTCAGAACCTTCTACTGTGGAAACAACTAGAATGTTCGAGTACATACCAGTCCCGACTGACTAGGTGTCGATAGTTCTAGAAAGTTCTAGCATGAAAATTTCTAGAAGGATCTTGACTCTCCTAGTTCTGCTACTCGATACTTAAAAGTACTAGTGGTAACTAGTGTCGCTATGTACCAGGCATTCATTGTGACGTGCAACACTGCCCCCTCCTAAGACATGACACTTTTATTCCAGCCGTTCGTCTTAATGACAATCTCGAAGTGGATTTTATGGGCCGATCAGGAAGAAGTCTCGTTGAACGGCTGGACTTTGAATCCACGTAGTGAAGGTGTTGTAGCTATCATGGGAGCGATAATTCCATCCCCAAGTTTAAGGTCTAATAGCGTTTTTTTCACGTCAGCCAATCACGTTGTCAACCAGATTGTTTACTTGGTCAATTCGGGTTTCAGATTTTGTTGTAATGTTGAGCATCCCTATCCTTCACCTCCCTTATCTCTTTCCCGAAGGTAGCGTGAAGGTCCTTCATGGGTAGCATCTACTCTTCCTCATCGCGTTTGAACTGCTCTTCTAACCGACGGGCTTGTTCCTCCTGTCGATGGGCCTTTTTCTCCTGTCGGCGGGCCTGTTCTTCCTGTAGACGGGCCTGTTTCTCCTGTCGGCAGGCATGTTCTTTTTGTTAGCGAGCCCGCTCCTGCAGCATTGTCATCAGAACACCTAAGTCAGGTGCTGTAGATGCAGGAGTTGCTGATGGGTTAGCCTCCGTGGTCGGCAGCTGGCCCTCCGACATTGGCATCGGGTATGGAAACCCTGTGTCGTCCGTAGCTAAAATCGGCGTGATTTGATCCCACTTCTGACACCAATTGTTACGAGCTTGGGGTTCGAGACAATTAAAAACTGCTGAGTGAATTACCAATGTATACAATCGTTTTTGGGCCCACTGGAAATTTTTACGACCCTCAATAGCATTACACAGAAAAAAGATACATACTTATACATTATTGAAAATCTAAACGGAATCAAGAAATTTGAGGAAAAAAAAGTTGTTTTGATATTCGTGTTAAGGTCATTAATATGTAACATGTTGAGGTAATGTAATATTTAAAAAATAATTATATTAGAGATGTTTCAACTAGGAGGAAAATTGAAAGCAGTTAACTGAAAGAAAGAAAAAAAATGCATTTTATTTCATTTTAAGAACGCAGCACAACAAGTAAAAAGTAATTAAATGCAAAAAGATAAATAAAACTAAATTAGAAGTAATAATAATTTAACAACATTACAAATTTAAGAAAAAACATATAAAAATACCCTGTGCTGCTTACGTGAAACTGCGAAACGGTCCGAACTCAGTGATAGCACTGGTTTCAAGTCCAACCCTTACCCAGAGGCAGCTCGAGCGGCTGAGTGCACGCTCGCGCTTGATGTCCGAAAATTTATGATATACAATATACATATGCATACCCACATTTAAATATAACTGGACTGACAGTAGAATTAGCCGTTTTTTTTTTCCTAAAAGCACACGTATGCAAGCAATATCTACAGTTTTGTATTAATAAAAAATAACTAAGGTAAATAAAAACACCACTCGTATAAAGATTTCTAAATTAATTATAAAAGAAAGAAAAAAACAAATAGGCTACTCACGTTATATGCAATCTCTTTGTTAGTTTCAATATTGTTATGTTTACATTTTTTAAAAACAGGATTTAGTATAAATTACGAGTAAGTACCAAACCGCTCGGTGTTTATGATATACACTTACGTTACTGGTAAATACATTCATCGTTAATTTAATAAAAAATTGGTATAGTAAAGAATTATCGTAAGTTATTTATACTTAGATTCTACGTCTTAACCAACATTTTTTTGTTCATTAAGTAATTACTTGTACCAGAAGCAAATAAAAAGTTTGAATAATAATATATTTTGGTATATAAGTTTGCAAAATAATTGAGGCTTTTAGACCATACCCATAGATAGAATCAAATGTTTCTATTATTAGACAGGTGTGTTGTTAGTTCTGCGAAAAGACTAGTATATGGAGGGTGATTATTAGCGCCATCTAGTATTAAGTAGCAGAAATAGAAGCATCAAGATCTTTCTTGAAAATTCTCTAGCGCCATCTAGTATAGAGTAGCAGAACTAGGAGACTAGGAGAGCTTTTTAGAAAATTTCTTGCTAGAATTTTCGACATTCTACTCCAATATTCTAGATTTTTCTGTAGAAAAGACCTATAAAAGGCCAGTAAGGACCGCGACCGAGTCAGTATTGAATTAGCGAGACAAACGAAGACTATACCTGCGAATTAGTGTGATTAATTATTAGTGTGTTATAATTTTTAATTGGTGTTCGGTAATTAAAGTGTCAATTTTTGTAATTCAATCGGCAGTTTTTTTTTTTGTCACAAACCTTAAGCTCGTAATATTAATATAAAAATAATATCTTTTTCTCCTAAATGAAACCAGTAAAAATAAAATGTGAGAAAACTTTTACACAGTCTAATATTGTTGATGTTAAGGGCCTATACTACCTCAGCTCAAATTCTAATTTAGTACTCACTTCCCCGCGCGTCGTATGCTATGTATCGACATGTTTGTAATAACTAATACTGTAAGTAAATAGGTCGTTAGATACTTATTTTATTAGGCTTATCATGTTTATGCCTGTTACTTTATCAGTCGCTTCTTATTTTTACTTCGGTTATTTCCTATTTTAATTTTACGTCATCCTGTTGCGTAATGTGTATTCTGATCGTAAGCGACACAACTTCCCCGTTCGAGAGTCGAAGTGAGACTCAGCGGGGTTATCGGGTAGTAGGGAACAAGCTTCAGACGCCGATAGTTTTGGCAATTTCTTTTAACAGTGAAAATAATGGTAATTAAAAAAAAAAAAAAAACATAAGCCCTGCTTTATACTTAGTTAAGTTAGTAAGTTTCATGATCTAATTTAAATTATTTTGCGAATACCAGCGGCTTATTGCTCGGTTTGGAGGTAATTTTGGATTTTTTTCTATCTAGAAAATTTTACGGAATCGTGTTTTCGTCTAACATAGTACTTAACATTAATCCTCAACTTTACCATATATTTTTCTCAAAATGAATATTATATTATTATATACAATATTTGGCATAACCACCGTTATGCCGAATATATTACTAAGCTATTTGAGGTAGTATAGGCCCTTATTTGATCAACTGGAGTTGATTAATGTTGTATAATTTATAATAATTTCCTTTTTATTTAACATACAGGCAGAGATAACAAAATGCTGACTCGACAACAGCGACTCGCTGTTGTCGAGACCCATAAATCACCAGTGGGAAGCCGGGGCGGATCGATAGTAATAAATACAATTAAATTATACCTGTGTTTTTGTAATCCTTACACAAACAATTTAAACTTCTTCCTTCTTCACTATTTATCAGTGTGTAATAACGTATATAAGCATGAAATGACATAGTCATTTTGATATGTTGCTACCCAGACCTTTTATTATGATGTATACTAATCAACCAAACCATATTAAAACAAAGTCTTGACACCGTTCCTCTCTGTATTTCACAATCAATCATCTGAGTTCAAAAACTTTATTAAACTAAGTTTGTATAAAAAAGGGTTATTATAATATTAAGGAATATATGGATAATAATAACTCCTGGGTAAGGTGATCATTACCAAGCTATTTCTAATTTGTTCTGCGTTGTTAATTGTAATATACATGATTGTAATCTGTTATTTAAAAAATTGTCTCACTGGGTTTCTTGCCAGAACCAGTGCAGTGGTAAATTAAAAAAAATGACTTTTATAAAGTATTAATTATAATCTATATTGAAAAAAAGTTTCTGTTTCTATACTAGTACTATTAAAAGAATACTTTAGAAATTATTATTTACAATAATGAATAGAATTAAATTATATTTTGCTTTTGTAATACAACAAGCTTGAAACATGTTTCTTATCGTGTGTTGGTAATATAATAAATATAAATGGACATATTATCCCTTACTCATCTTGGTTTTAATCATATTAATTTATATTATTTGGAATGTACACCCACAGTCAATCAATACATGTCATACGACATTTGTGCATAGACCGCCTGTTTGATGTCGTATGACTTGCTATAGTGCCCAATATTTTGCCGGAACTACTAAAAACATTTTCCATCGATCTTAAAATACCTATAAATGCTGAATATGCCATTGTTTTATATATACTATAATTATTCAACAGTGCATACCTGGCATTAATTGTGGCGCGCAACAGTATATATAAAAAAATCGGTAAAGTGTATGCTATGGTTCGGTGTTAGTGCTACAATTTTAAGTTTAGAAAAATGGCATACCTATTCTTCCATACACTGCAGTTACAAGAACCCTTATAATATGCGACAGAATCTTTTAGTAATCATTAACATCGGTCCATGAAAAAACTTTATTACTCTAGTACAAATTCTTGCTATTGATTAGAAAAGAATTTTACATTACTATGAAATATTTTGCATTTGCAAACCTAATTAATAGATTTGGATAACTACCAGGAATTCTATTTTAGCACTTTGAAACATCTAACAATATTTAAGAATAAAATATTCTTACCTAAGACGACAACATAAAAAACGCAATTTCTCTTCAGTTGTTTTGTTTTCAATACCAGATGCTTCAATTAGTGCAATTGTAACAGTTGCAAATTCGGTTCTTTTCAAGACTCTTTCAATGTCATGGTCAGGTGTGTTAGTAAAAATAAGCTGAAATGAAAAAAATATGAAGAAAAATGCGTGTAATCCTGATATACGAGTATGTATTAAAAGTTTATAATAACTTAAGAATTTTATTAAAATTGACGACAAAAAACAATCTGTTTTCATAATCAAGACAAATAGAGTACCTTTTCAACCTTTTCCCGTGCCTCTTTTCTTTTTTCCTTACTGGCGTTTCGTCTTTCCTTTGCTGCCATGATACGAGATCCAATTTTATCTCGTAAAGATCTTGAGATTGGAGTGGGTGGTGGAAGCGACTCGTCGCTTCCTTTATCTATTTCGAGTAATCTGTTCCAAATGACGAATAAATTATCATTATTTTTGCGAGTAATTAAAATATCTAGGCTAAGATGCAATGTTTGATCAAGCTTACTCACGATTCTAGACTTGTTTTTGACGAGTTACTCATATCATTGAAAAAAATGCTTTCGGACTGATTATCTTCACTTTCAAATATTCCATTTTGCTTAATATCTAAGCTTGACTCGTTAACTATAGCTTCATTAAAATAAATATCTTGATATATCGCGCTATTCTCTTGCATATTTTCTATAACTAGTGTTTTTCTTACTAACTTTTTTCCACTTTCAATATTATCAAAGTTTTCTTGAGTATCGTTTCTAATATCGCTTGTACTCATATATCTTCTTGGCTCAGTATAAACAAAGTTTTCATTGAGTGAGGTGAGCATATCGATTGATTTTGATTTTTCAATTTTTTTTTGCATTTCAATATACTTGTTCTGTATTCTCTCGTGTAATTTGGGGAAATGTTTTTTTGCCACATTATTTGCCTCCAGTTTACGCACATTATCCATTTTTCACTTTTGTAATTAGTTTGCAAATATTTTTTCAAATCCAATCGGGATGCGGAAACACCACTGTAACGTATGATATGACACTATATAGCTGTATCATTATTGATTGAATCGCGTAATCAACGTTAATATCTTATCAATTGTGCTATCGGTGATTGTATTATTCAATGTTATCTTTAGCGATTTACTTCAAACCGGGGACTTTGGTAAAGTATTTTACGGTGACAGCTAATTATATATATTAAAAGACGCCATTAAATACCTTTGTTATTACATCCTCAGGATTTATAGTAGCTATAAAGCAAAAAAATGTTAAATGTTGAACTAAAATTATGTTAAGTATTTTATTTAGTATGTGAAACAAAATAAGCTGCCTCTTGGAGTTTCTTGGCTCTCCGAAAAAAGAAAACATACGTGGTAGAGCTATGCTGCAGCTATATTAGTAGTATAGTAGTAGCACTAATGGTCCACCCTAAATTTTGTATATATGATACATATGTTTGTTCTAGTGCATCATCATTTTGATTCGTAATCGAGATATTTATATATATATATATATATATATATATATATATATATATATATATATATATATAGGAAAGAAAAGTAATTTCTAGTTTGTTTCTTCTAGGTAAGAAAACCGGTAAAAATATTCTGTATTTGGAATTATGAACAAACTTTGAAGATTCATTACAATAATTTTATATCTTCATATTATAGAGCTTATCTTTTTCTTATCAACATCTTAAAGTCACAAAGGTTGGAATGCGCAATTATTTGTTACTAACTGTTTCCCGCGACTTCGCTCGCGTGGATTTTATTACGCTTAGATTTTATGGTTTTTAATTCATTGCGTGGAACCCCAATTATTTTTCTAAAATAAAAGTAGCCAAAGTTACTCCTTATAACAAAAGCTATCCGTTAGTTAAAAACTGTCGGTTAAGTCGTTTTGGAGATTAGCCGGAACAAACAAACAGACCGAGAGGCAGACAGGCAAAACTTTTAAATAATTTTTTTCTGTCTAAAGTATCGTATTTACTTTTATATACGTTAATTGAAAAGCTGTTATTTCAAAATTACGGACATTTTATCCATTTTGAAAATATTATAAAATATATTGAAAAAGTGGTTTAATTGTTTATTAGAAATTTCAGAAAAATAATGTTTTGTGAAAATAATATATTTCAATATTAATTATTATGTGATAATATATTTATAAGTTCGTTTGCCCGAAGTGATGACACGAAATAACGATGTAGGTATTATTTATGACCGAATACATCAAGAATATATTGTATTTTACAACAGTAAGGTCAAGGCGAACTTTAAGGAATACTGCTGACATACATTATTTTTGTATAGATAATGAATTAATTTATGAAAACAATTACTCTGAATTCGGACCTTTAAATCTTGGTTGTGTTTACAAATACTGCAAAATATGAAATAAAAAAATAAAACAACCTCAAAATAACGAAATCAATGCTCACTACACTTCGCCTGATCCAAAAAAAACCTAATGCCGCGTTTTTATTGGGATGCTTTGGCGTGATATATTTGAGTTTGTTACCTAAAGAAGCTTTGAACACGTTGACTGTAAACGGTTATAGTTATAGGCCACTTCAAGATGCAACACTTGGTGGTTCATCGTACACATTAATAATATTAGATTGCCTTAATATTAATAAAGAACTAGGTATCTTTAATTTTCAAGATTTTATACGAATTGATTAAACGAAGTTATAGACTTTTGAGTGCTGTAAGTATATTTTACATTTTAATTTTTTTAACTTTTTTAACGTTCCGATACATTCACAGCCGGATTTCCTACGGTGTCAAAATTATACCGACGGTAGACTATTTAAAAGTAAAAGGGGATTAAATATACATATTAAACGATGCCATAGTAAAAGTATTTCGGTTTCACAGCCTACCGTAGAAATTTATGACTCTTTTAGAAATATCCGTAATGACACAAATTTTTCACTTTTTCGGAACAATTGTACAACGTTCACAGTAACGTACTCGTATCAGTGCTTAAAAGAATTTCCAAAGGTGCAAGGATGCAACTTGCTAAAGCATTGTCATGCACTATTCAAAATTGTTTTAAGAATTGTGAAAAGAGTTGGCAAAAATTATTTACATTCGCGTATTCCCATTTTCTTTACAAAACATAAACATCGACGTCTTAACTAAAGGACTTACAAAATTATACCCGATTAATACTCATTTATCTCGACCTTGTCCCGATTTTGAGTTAAAACGTAGTTGATTCGAAAGTAATGGATGGCGACTTAAAAAATGCATCAAGTATTCTATTCTCAGAGGACATCCTGGCTCCTCGTAATGTCGAAACTCTTCAATGTCAAGGGCTTCGTCAGAAACATCCCTCGGCCAATTCCTCTCAGAATTTACCATTGCTTCCCAACGTTTACAAATTTCTGAAAAAGACACTTTAGGCGCAATCTTGTCACTTTCGAATGGCTGGCATTGATGGGATTACGCCTCAACATCTCAACCCACCACCCTGCTGCCGGTGTTCAGCAGAGTGATCCACTAGGTCCAGCTCCCAGAGTTTGGGAATTCAACCTTTTATTTCAAAATTGAAATCCAAGCTGAAAGTCTGGTACCTGGACGACGAGGTAAAGCAGAAGACGTCCGTAGTGATCTTACACATATTTTTCAAAATTTTAAAAATATTGGTCTTGAACCAAATGGCAATAAATGTGAAATATTTATTTTCAATAATTTATCAAATTCTAACGGAGATACTTTAATTCAAAATTTCAATCACATTTCTCCAAGAATAAAAACTGTCAATACGGAATCGCTATACCTGCTCGGTGCTCCGTTGTTTTTCGATAGTATAAAAGCGACAGTAGCCTAATGGCAGGGCGCGGACCGCGAACTCAAAAAGGTCGTGGGTTCGAATCCACCATTCGACTACTTGCGTGAACCACTCGTAACACGAGCAATTTAAGCTTACCACGAGTGGTTAAGGGGAATATTAGTAATGTTTATAGCATTGTTAATATTCTTTTTAAACTAAAAAAAAGTATTAAACCAGTTTTAAAAACAAAATTTGGTCAATTTTTAAATCACGTTGATAAAGTGTATATCTTAAACCCCCATATTGCCCTTACTATTTTAAAATATTGTCTCCTTGTACCTCAATTTACATACTTAATACGCTCAAGTCTAGTTTGGAAATGTTCGGATATATTAAAAGATATTGATAATAATCGTAAAATAGCTTTAGAAACAAATTCTAAATTTCAGATTAAATACAACAGTCTGGAATCAAGCTAATTTACCTATCAAAGGAGACAATCATTTTTGGGCCCACTAGAAATATTAACGTCGTTTAATGGTATTTACACCAAAAAAAGACACCAAATTATAATAGTAAATGGCCTATAGATTTTTCGAAAATCTAAACGGAAACAAGAAATCTGAAAAAAAAAAATTTGTTGTTTTGACATTCGTGTTCTGATCATTGGCTGATCAATGTAATATTTAAAAAATTATTGTCTTAGAGATGTGCCGTGATAACTCGGAAAAAATCGAATCGAGTTGAAATTCAGGTAACTTGATTTTGAGCTCGAGTTAAACAATTCAAATTAGATGAACGAAGCTGTGTCAATATGTCACAAATTATTTTTATAATTGATCTTCCATACAACACAATTATTATTACTACACTTAATAGGTAGTTATATATTATTTTTGGTATGCGTATCGATATCTTCATAAAATAATATCACTCTAACGTTATGACGTAAGTCTTAATGTTATTAATAATTTGACTATCCAAAGTATATATAATCAATTTATATTATGTATAACATAAATTGATACAACATTATATACATACATATTACCTAATATCAATTTATTTATTACATAATATATCAATAAATTGCTCGAATTAGTAAGTCGATTTAATCACTAAATTGTTGACAAACACTGCATTGGCCGTAATATAAAGATGCGATTCGAGTAGTTTTGTGACTCGAGCCACTCGGGTTAATTTACGAGTATGTATGTATTTGTCATTCTAGTTGTACACTAGTTTTTGAGTAAATCAACTATTTACAGAAAAGTTCATCACTAGAGTTGAGAGTAGCGATTACTTTAGTTAAACAATTTTTAAATATGTACTTTTATAAATAAGTAATATGTGAAATTAAAACTATAAATCAATATCACAAATAAAACTAATTTCAGGTTTGTTTACAACATGCCAGATGCAAGTTTGAATTTGGATGCAACTTGTGATGTCACCTGCAGTGACTTATTATATATACAAGTAAATTAGTGAAGTAATATTTATATAGCACCCTCTGAATCTATACGATGCGCCGAGTTAACTCGGTAACTTGGTAAAATTTATTTTCTATCGATTATCGAGTTGGACAAATTCACTCGATTCACTCGGGTGAAATAAAACATAGTTGGAGTCGCATCATTATGGTAAGAACAAAATGGAGTTTTTATTTACAAGCATTATTAAACTAATGGGTGCGTTTGGCAGAAAAAAGCGCTAGCAAGCGCTTGTAAGCAAAATGGCGATCGTAAGCGGTAAGCGCTGTCAAATCGTAAGTAGCTATTTTCCTCCAGGACACGATGTTAGTTTTAACCGGGGAACCTAACCTAATTTAATTATATGTTTGTAAAGTATGCATATTAAAAACTTACCAATCATGAATTTTTAACAACATGTATATGTCTATTCATGTCATTATATTACTTAAAACTAATTTTACACAAAACAACTTTAAACTCTACTTCAAAATAAACAAATTAAATAAGCAAAATGGCGGATTGTGTCAGCGCTACTGAAGTAGCAATCGTGTCCTGGCCGAAAACTATTTTAGCGCTTGTAAGCGCTTGCTAGCGCTTTTTTCTGCCAAACGCACCCATTGTTTAAGAAAATATGGATATTATCAATTATCAGAAAGGTTAGCCAAATATTAATTGACACAAGTACGTATGTTTTT